CATGGTGATCCTCAGACATGCTTTTTAAAGGAAAGATGCTATCAACCAGGACAATGGATGTGTAAGTGTTTACTGTACAATTCCTTCCCCTTCTATAATACGTTAAAGATTTGGGTTATGGTCCTGGGTAGGACGGAGTAACTATATTGCACCCAGTCTCTCTCACCAAATGTGACTAAACCCTCCAGATAGAATGCAGGGCACAGCTCTTTGAGGACTCTGGGAAGCAAATAATAGCAGGTAAATTGGGGGAGTAAACGAAAACTCAAAATATAAACAATGAGGGTTTCCTGATTTGTTTCATTTTGTTTTTGTTTTCCTTTCACACCTTCCAGCTTGAACTCAAGGCAGTGCAAGTCACAGAAGTGTGCCCTGGGTACACACAGAAAAAGTGCCAAGAAAAACCCTCTTTCTGGTCTAAGGAGCAGAAGGGGACCCCACAAGACAGAGAGTAGGGGAAATACTGTTTCTTTTTTCTGTTCTGGCTCCACTGCAGGCAAGCCTCACTCCCAAAGCTGGAACTGTGTGATAGAAGGGTAGCAGTAGCAGTGACTGGGAAAGCACTTAATACTGACCAAGAAACTGTGGTCAGAAGAGCAGGTAGCGTGTGGAACCATGTTGTTTGTCTTCCTCCCTTCATCCCAAAGGCAGACCTGATTGTGGGAAGCACACACAACAGAGCTGGGAGGACACCAGGGAAAGGGGACGAGGGGCCCTGGAGCTGGGACAAGTTGGGATGATGATTCTGAAGAGGTAGAAGCTCAAGAAAGTGGGCCCATCAAGTTGTGTGTCTGGCCTCACCCTGGCCTGTACATGGACCTGACCCTACGCAGCATGCCAAAGGCCTGGAATGGTGAACTATGGGGCAGACCACTGCCCAGGTCTCAGACTGGGCCCTGGATGGTACATATGTGGTACAGGTCCAAACAGCTCTGCAAAAGTATGAAAACTCAAGTGACACTGGTGTCAAATGGTGAAGAAATGGGTCCTCCATTAAAAAAAAACATCTTTTTTTAAAGATTTTATTTTTAAGTAATCTCTCCACCCAGTGTGGAGCTCGAACTCACAACCCTGAGCTCAAGAGTCCACCAACAAAGCCAGCCAGCCGCCCTAAAATGGACAACAGATCTAAATGTAAAACACACAGCTATAAAAATTTTGGAAGAAAAATATGAGAAAATCTTCATGACCTTAAGTTAGGCAAGTCATTCTTAGTCATTTTTCAAATATTGGTAAATTGTACTTCATCGAAATTAAAAACCTTTGCTCTGTGAAAAGTGTGGGAAAATATTTGCACATCACGTATCTAACAAAGGACTTGTACCAGAATATATAAAGAACCCTCAAAACTGAACAGTAAGAAAGCAAACAACCCAATTTTAACAATATATTCAAACGACTTGAATAGACACATAACGAAAGAAAATATGCATGGTAAATAACACAAGAAAGATGTTCACTATCTTTAGCCATTGAAACCACAATGTGATGTCAATACAAATTTGCCAAATGCAAATTAAAACTAAAACCACAATGTGATGCCAATACATATTTATTAGAAAGGCTAACATTAAGGAGGGGCACCTGGGTGGCTCAAGTTGGTTAAGTGTCTGACTCTTGATTTTGGCTCAGGTCTTGATCTTTAGTTGGAGCCCTGCATTGAGCTCTGTGCTGACAGTGCAAAGCCTGCTTGGGATTCTCTCTCTCCCTCTCTCTCTGTCATTTCCCCACATGCTTTGTCTCTGTCTCCCTCAAATACAAATAAACATAAAAAAAGAAAGTCTAACATTAAGGAAAAAATGAAAATGCCAAGTGCTGACGAGGATGTGGAACAAATGGAATTCTGCTATGTTGCTGGTAGGAATAAAAGGTACAGACAATAAAAAACAGTCTGGCAGCTTCTTGTATACGGCTTACTATATGAATATGACCCAGTAATCTCACTCCTGGAGATTTATACTGGAGGACTGAAAACGTTAGCCTACATAAAACCTGCACATGAATGTTGATAGCAACTTTGTTTTGTTGTTGTTTGTGAAAAAAATTTATATTTAGATTCAGACAGATGGACTCAATTTAGATGATTCCAATTTTGTTGGCAACATCTAAAGCATCATAGTCAAAAGCCAGTGGAACATATGCTTTCTTCTCTCTATTGGACCTGATCAGGGTGTTGATCTTGGTCATGTCAATGTGGTAGAGCTTCTTCACAGCCTGTTTGATCTGGTGCTTGTTGGCCTTGAATCCACAATGAATACAAGTGTGTTGTCTTCTATTTCCTTCATGGCTGCCTCAGTACTCAGGGGAACTAGATGATGGCACAGTAGTTAAGCTTGTTGTTCCTGGGGCGGTCTTTCAAGGATATTTGTGTGGCTTTCGGAGATGCAGTGTCTTAGGCCATCAGAAGGTAGGTGGCATGCGGAAATTCTTTTTTGTGTGTGACTGTGGAAGTCTTTCCGCATCACTTTTTTGGTTTTCAGAAGGCTGCAGCTTTGGGAGGGGCAGGGGCTTCCTTCTTTGCCTTTGGCGCCATCTTCATGAAAGCGAGAGCAGCTTTATTTGCAATAGTCAAAAACTGGTAACAGTTTCTTCAATGGGTGAAGGCATGAACAAATTGTGATACATCTGTATACTGGAATAGTAGTCAGCAATAAAAAAGGAGGAACCATTTTTTTTTCTTAGTTTATTGTCAAGTTGGTTTCCATATAACACCCAGTGCTCATCCCAACAAGTGCCCTCCTCCATGCCCATCCCCCTTCCTCCCCCCCACACCCATCAGTCCTCAGTTTGTTCTCAGCATACAAGAGTCTCTCATGGTTTGCCTCCCTCCCTCTCCCCCCCTTATCCCCCCTTCTTCTCCCCCATGGTCCTCCGTTAAGTTCCTCCTAATCCTCCTATACGTGCAAACATATGATAGCTGTCCTTCTCTTCCTGACTTATTTCACTCTGCATAACACCCTCAAGTTCCATCCATGTTGCTACACATGGCCAGATTTCATTGTTTCTCATTGCCATGGAGTATTCCATCGTATAGATGAACCACATCTTCTTGATCCATTCGTCTGTTGATGGACACTTAGGCTCTTTCCATGTTTTGGCTATTGTTGAAAGTGCTGCTGTGAACATTGGGGTACATGTGCCCCTATGCATCAGCACTCCTGTATCCCTTGGGTAAATTCCTAGCAGTGCTATTGCTGAGTCATAGGGGAGTCTTATTGTTAATTTTTTGAGGAACCTCCACACTGTTTTCCAGAGGGGCTGCACCAGTTTACATTCCCACCAACAGGGTAGGAGGGTGCCGATTTCTCCACATCCTCGCAGCATCTAGAGTCAAAAAAGGAGGAACTATTGATACACACAACACGAATGAACCTCAGAAAGATTTTGCTGAGTGAAAGAAGCCAGTGTCAGAATGTTATATACTAAATGATATAATTTATATGAAATTCTCAAAAAGGCAAAATTATAGAGATGGAGAAGAGATCAGTGGTTGCCAGGGTAAGGGAGAGTTTGGGTACAAAGAGGCAGCATGAGGACATTTTATGGGTGATGCAACTGCTCTGTATGTTGATTATAGTAGTGATTACACGTATTAAAATTCATAGAACTGTACACCAAAAAGAAAGTTAATTGTATAGTCAATTTAAAAATTAAAATAAAAATTCACTGTATCGAGGTTTCAATGTCTAAATAAAAATAGATGCTTGGCAATCTGGTTTATTACCAAATCATCTTTTGCAGATTAACTAACACTGCAAAATAACCAATTCCAGACCCAACACAACACATTCCTTAAGTACCATAACCATAATGCAACTTATTACCCTCACACAATTGGAGTGCTTTCAATGCCAATTTTTAATAAGGGGTACTTCTTCATTCTGATTCTGTTACATATCAATCAGCTTGCCCATCAACATCAGACTAATAAAACAGAGAAGGATGTGCCCCACTGGTAAATCAAAGAGAAACTTTTATCACTATCAAGTCTAGACCATGTCTATGCCAACAAAACCAACAAGATGATGTGACTTCATTCATTCATCTTCCAAAGATTTGCCAAGCACATATTAAACCCAGGCCCCGTGAGAATAAAGGTAAACTAAGTGCTGAGTTTACCCTCCAATGAGTCAATCCAGATAGAAAATGAATGGCCCTGTGAAAACATTCTCAACAGTCAAAGCACCACAGTGCATTTGATTAAGAACCAAGAACTGTGATCCACTGGATTCTAAAAACCAAGGCTATCATCTTTCTCTTCAACTGGAGATAATAAACGTGATGATAGGTATATCCAGCCCAGGTGGTTTTCCTGGTGCCATGGTAAAGTATTAAGTGAAGTTGGGAAAAGTAGGTAGAAAATTCCCAGGGTGGGTTTTGATATCTAGACAGACAAATAGTTAAGCTTATTTCTGGCTAATAGCATGGTCTTTGGAACCAAGTAAACCAGGTTCAAATCCTGCCTCTCCACCTTCTTAGATGTAATTCTTTGGGCAAGATATTTAACCTCTCTGTGTCTTAAGCTCTTCATATGAAAACTGTATTACAATAACATTTTTCCCACAAGGTTTGAGGCACTAAATATCAAAGTCCTAAGACTGGTGGGTGCCTAGCATATAGTATCTATTTAATAAGCTTTGCTTATTGGAGTTCACATAGCACAGTCAAGATTTAATGTTTCTGAAGCTAGTTAGCTTCTGTCTTCCACATCCCAAATTATATTCTGGTCAAATTACCTTATACTTAAAAATGAATATCACTGGCCATAAAGTCAATATGGGAAAATATGTAAAAACCTAAGTCCTATAAGTAATGGCTAAACAATTTAGTTACCAAACACAAAGAATATATGATGTGAATATTCTCCAAAGAGAATGTCCCAAGGTGAAAACTGCATTTGGAAATATTCTGGTATATGAGAAAAAAAGATGACTGAAGTGACCATATTTTCCCATACACTGGTCATGCCAATCCATTCTACCAAAGGAAGATAAACTTACCTTATCAGCAACATCCACTCTGGCCTTGTGATTAAGCAAGAAATCCACCGCCGATAAATGATTCGCCCCCACTGCAAAATGCAGGGCTGTGCGGTTCATCTGAGGAAACATAATTTGTGTTTTCAGTCATCTAATTGTTATTTGTCCTCTTTATGATTCCTGTTTCCTAAAAAGCCATAATTTTCTATCTTATGTTTATATTTGCATCGCATAACTCATCATTGATTGTAACGATATAATGGATTTCAATAAAAAAGTAAAAGTTGTGGGGGGCCTGAGTGGCTCAGTTAGTTGAACAAGAATTGAGGTAATGATCTCATAGTTTGTGAGTTCGAGACCCACATCAGGCTTTCTGTTATCAGCACAGAGCCTGCTTCAGATCCTCTGCCCAATCTCTCTGTGCCCCTTCTCCACTCTGAAAGATAATAAACATTTTTTTTAAAAAGCAAAAGTCATATTTTCCCCATATGCAATTATTAATAACAGTATTTTTTTGTGGTTAGAATATATTGATGACGCAAAATAAAAATTTTCATAGATGTTCAATCCATATATGGTATTTCTTGTGAAAGTTTTTGAACTGTAAATTTTACGGAAACAAATAAACTGCTTCAGAATAAAAGAAATAAAAGGTTGAATTCTAGACACTGTTTTTTCATCCAAAGAAGGTGCCTGTGCATGGATATACTCCTTTGTTTCAAATAAATAATTTATTGCAAAAATTAAATATCTGATATCTTTGGTAGCTAAACTGATGGTAAACTAAGTTTGCGAAAACATGAGTTATCGTGACATTGTCTGCAATCTAGAGCTGTGTTCTAGTATGTCAAGCCAAAACAGCATCCAAGATAATTCAATAAAACCACTTACATATATTTTTTCATCTCTGTCACCACAGATGTTAAGCAACTCTACAAGTAACCATGTCAACAATTTGCTGTAAACTGGACTAAAAGAGATGTCATTAGAAAGTATAACATGGGGCACCTGGGTGGCTCCGTTGGTTAAGTGTCAGACTCTCGGTTTTGGCTAAGGTCAGGATCTTGCAATTTGTGAGACTGAGCCTTGCATCAGGCTCAGTGCTGACAGTGCAGAGCATGCTCGGGAGTCTCTCTCTCATTCTCTCTCTGCACCTTCCCTAATTGTGCCCATGTGCATGTATACACTCTCTCACTCTCAAAATAAATAAACTTTAAAAAATAGTATAATCCAGGGGCGTCTGGGTGGCTTAGTCGGTTAAGCGTCCGACTTTCGCTTAGGTCATGATCTCGCGGTTCGTGGGTTCAAGCCCCGCGTTGGGCTCTGTGCTGACTGCCAGCCCAGAGCCTGGAGCCTGTTTCAGAGTCTGTGACTCCCTCTCTCGCTGACCCTCCCCTGCTCACACTGTCTCTCTCTCTCTCCTAGAAATAAATAAAACCTTAAAAAATTTTTTTTTAAAAATAGTATAATCCAATTTATCAGGAGTTCATGATAATTTGCTTTGCTGACTGTAGGTTAAAGTGCCCTACACTGTGCCCTAAATGATGCTTCATTTAGCATTAAATCTCTCTAAATACTTTAATATAAAAATATTTATAAATATTTAAAATATCAGGAAGTTATATGTGAAAATTTTTCTTAATTATTATAAAGGTACATTAGAGAATCTACTCCTTGCTGCTTGGAAAATGCTTATTGCTTTTCTTTTTCAACAATTTATGTAGATATTACTTTCAAACGCCCTTGCTTCTTCTCTTTTCACTCCCTTCCCTTGCTTCCTTCCTGATTCTTTCCTTTTGTTTTTGTTTTTGCTTTTGTTTGGTTCCTAAAATTGCTATGCTGCAAAACTTTGCTATCGTTCTACTCTTTCTAGGATGTCTATGGACAATAAATACTAAATACAACCATAACACATCAGACGTACACATGCACACAATATACACATAGACATATGAACTTCCATATGGACACAAATATATACCTCTCACATACACACATGCACAACTGGTAAACATCCTTCCACTGCATATGATGCATGACTTCAATTCTTATGACTTCACTTCCTGGGATAGATTCAGGCTTTGTGGAACCTAAACTCTACACTCTTCAGGGAGCCCTTTCTAAAACCAGTCAGAGCTGCATTGATGGCAGTTAAAGTTTCTTACTTTTTCAGATTTAAAAGAAACATATAACCATGAGATTGCTAGAGCTAGACTCCCCCTCCAGTACCTTGGAAGGGGTCTGTACGCGTAGGGGCCCTAAAACTTATACTTCATTTAGCATTAAATCCATCTCTGCAATCCCCTTGAACCACTTGGACAAACTGTCCTAAGCAATTAACACAGCCCCCACTTTGATAAAGCTTGCCTTGAAAAGCTGTCAGGAAATCTCTACAAAACCAAGCAGTAGGGAATCCTGTATTTCTGGCAGTGGACTTCTCTCCTAAACCCAAGCACTTGAAGAACAATTAAGAGCCAGGTTTTAGAAAAGGCTCCAGGGCCTAACATGCAAATGCACTGTATTTCTAAAGCAATAAAATACACACCCATGCTCTCCCTTGGATTTTAAATTTGCAGGACTGAACAACAAAGGACATCACTGGAGAGAAACCAGTGATGAACTGTGTAGCAAAAGATGTTCTGCCTTTCCAGAATGTGTGAGGCCAGTGATGCACAGGCTACAATCCAGGACCAAGTCCAGGCCCATAACCCTGACAACTGACTTTACTGCCCACCCACACATTTTGTACAGCACACAAAGGCTCTGTATATTTTCTCTCTGATAAGATAAGTTAAAACCCTCGGAACCTATCCCATGGCTTGATCCCATCTTTAGCTTAAACATTCTGGAATTACCAACGAAGGAGCTGCCTCTCACATCATCCACCACAATCCTTTCAATTTTTACTATTATTTAAATTGGACTGTGTAAATCCAAGCCACCGTTAGAGCAGTCACTTGTCACATCTGTGACTTATACTCACATTGTTCACAGCATTAATGTTAACCTTCTTTTCAAACAGCTTCTCCATAAGATCCAAATTATTGCTTTTCGCAGCATTCTGAAAGCTTCTCTCATTTGGCAGTACTGAAAGCAAGCAAGCAAAGCATGACTGAAGGAAAGTAAGGGGGATGAAGAAAAAAAAAACCCCTCAACTGGTAACTTTAAAAACAGCCTTGAGCCTTTCACATTTTGCTGTTCTAGACATGGGAACTTTGTATCAATATTTTGCAAAGCTGTATTACCAAGATTCCACTTTGTGTTCACAAGTATTTTCACACCCTTAAAAATATTTCCTGGTCCCAAACAAAACATCATTCCCAAGGACCACCCTGAAGTCGGCAATGCAGTGTCTGCCTCTAGGAGGTCGGGGTGCGGCCACAGACTTTCTGTTTTGTTTTGTTTTTTAATAAAATGTTTGTATAAAATGAGACAGGCAGGAGCCCAAATGCTCCAGATGAGGCAGGAGCCCAAATGCTCCAGACGAGCTTACAGAGATAAAATTGTTGTCTGCAGAAGCCTGTGCACTTACCAGGCCAGCAGAAACAAATCCTCAAAACGCAGCACATCACATAAGTATACACTAAGGGTAAAAGGGACAAACGTGTTTTGTTTTCATTTATATCAAAAGAGATAAAAAGTGATTCACACCTACTATAAACCTTACATATCATATACATAATACACATTCAGGTGGCAGGTTTTATTAAGTAGCCTAGGGGAGATTTCAATATTTATTAAGTTATTTTTTATGCTCTCTCATTGTTTCTTTTTTTTTTAACATTTATTTTTGAGAGAGAGAGAGAGAACAAGTGGGGAGGGTTAGAGAGATGGGGACAGAGGATCCAAAGCGGGCTCTGCACTGAGGGCAGTGAGCCCTATGTGGGGCTCGAACTTAAAACCACGAGATCATGACTTGAGACGAAGTCAGACGCTCAATCGACTGAGCCACCTAGTCACCCTAGTTTTTTTAAAAATGTAGGGGAACTGGAGGGTTCTCATGGGACAACCCCAATACTGGGGGGTAAAGTGAGAATTAGAATGACCTGAAATCAGCAACAGACAATCTCTAAAAAAAAGACCTCTGGAGGAGATTTTGTGGATGTGTTGCCAAGTAGTTTCATAACAATAATAATAATGCTAATTACAACAAAAACAACAATAGATGTGACAAAGAATTTTTAAAAATTTTAATATTTATTTATTTTTGAGAGAGAGAGAGAGAGACAGAACAAGTGGGAAAGGGGCAGAGAAAGACATACACACACAGAATCTGGAAGGTTCTGAAGAGCAAAAATTTAAGGCCTCCATTAACAGCAACCTTGGGCTGCACGTGGCCCCAGTCCCAGTTCCAGGAAAAGCCTCAGACTGTTCAAGGCTAAAGCCATCCTCGGACGGCCCTCAGTTCAGCTAATCAAAAAGTAAAAAGAAACATTCCTATGGTCTGAGTCAAGGCTGGGAACTGCAGATACAAACTAGCCAATTTCTCACCGCTCGCCTGAACCCCACATGGGCCCTTTGAACTCACCTCATAATTGGTCATTTTCAAAGGATTCTCAAAAGTCATGATTGGGTCCCACCAAAAGTAATGAACACCTCACAGATACTGAATGGTCAAAGCTGTTACCATGGGTACTGGACAATTGTAATTGGTGCTTATGTGATGATGCTATACGTACAACGTGTGCACTGTAACACCACCGTCCCTTACCCCATAAAAGCCCTGCTCACTATTCGGGGCTTCACCTTGCTGCCATGACACCGTTAGGCTGGTGAGCCCCTGCTCGAGCTTGTAATAAAGACCCTTTTGTATTTGCATCTGTGCTGGCTCCTTGGACGTCTCTGGGACTCGCGATTAGGGCACAACAGCTCCAGGCTCTGAGCTGTCAGCACAGAGCATGACGCAGGACTCAAACTCATGAACCCCGAGATCATGACCCAAGCCAAAGTCAGATGTTCAGCTGACTGAGCCCTCCAGAAGCCCCTGCCAAAGACTCTTTAGAATGCTACCAAATTTGTCAAAGACTAGGAGCATCTTCATGGGAGAAATGCACATTCATTCTTTCTATCACCTGGATCCCCCTCTTCTTTTCTACTCTTCCTGTTGTCACCACTCTAAGTGATTTCAGCATCCACACGGATGACAAATCCGATACCCTGGTCTCCTACTTCCCTGAGTCTTTCACATTACAATAATTTTTTCCCTCCACGTGGTCTCAGTCACCCATTTTCAGGGTTATATTCTTGATATCATCAAAAAGCACATTACCTCTAACATCTTCAAGAATCCCACTGGCTGACCACCACCTCATCCATCCAACTCACCTGCTCTACTTCACCCAGTCCCGATTCTGAAACCTCATCAAGTCCTCCAATCCACTGTTCTCACCAGCGTTGCGTGTTTCATCGCTTATGTCCTTAATCTGCTTCTTACTCAGTTTAGTCCATCACTGAAATCACTTCTATACAAACACCTTCATGTCTCTTGCCACTCTCTTTTCTCATCAGACTAGCTGGCAGAATCCTAATTCTGAGATTAAACTCAATTGCTACCTATTCCATTTCTGCACCCGAGCAGCTGAATAGCACTGGAGAGAAACACACCACCGTGCTGCATGGCTAGTGCCCATCAGTACAGGGTCCTCCTATCTGAACACACGGATAAGTACACAGCCTGGCCTGGGTGCAGTTAAGGTGAGGTCTGCCCACGGGATTGAAAGAAGAAGGGACGGTAGGTTACGTGGGGCTGGGTCAGTGAAAAGCTCCTGTGTCACCCTCCAGGTGCCCTCTTCCTGTTTTATCAACCCTGAAAGCCATGTGTTTAAACGCTGCAGTTGTAGCTGAATTGTGTTTCCTCAAAACTTATATATTGAAGTTCTAACACCCAGTACCTGAAAATGTGATTATATTTGGTGATAGGATCCTTTTTTTCTTTAATGTTTATTTATTTATTTTGAGAGAGTGAGAGAGAGTGAGAGAGGATGAGCAAGGGAGGGGGCAGAGAGAGAGGGATACAGAGAGAATCCCAAGCAGGTCCTCCTCTGTCTGCACACAGCCAGACGCGGGGCTCGATCCCAAGAACCGTGAGATCATGACCTGAGCTGAAATCAAGAGTTGGACACTTAACCAGTTGAGCCACTCAGGCACCCCTGCTGATAGTCATTAAAGAGTTAATTAAAATGAGGTCATTCAATATGACTGGTGTGCTTATAAGAGAGGAAATTTGGATACTGACATGACACAGGAAAGACCATGTGGAGACAGTGGGAGGAGATGGGCATCCACAAGCTAAAGAGAGAGGCCTCAGGGGAAACTAAGTCTCCTGACACCTTGATCTCGGATTTTTAGACCCAAAAACTGAGACAAATTCTTACTGTTTAAGCCACCCCACCTGTGGTACTTTGTTACAGCATCCCTGGGAAACTGATACAAGGGGTTACAAGATAGCAGTGCCTCAGTCACTTTGGTACTGGGAGACAATTCTCCATGGGTCTCTTATGTTTCTCTACATCTTCTAAGCAGAAGCACTGACAGCTTTTGTTCTGGACCATCTTTTCCAAGATGTATGCACAGTGAAATGCATCAGAAAAGATAGATCAAAATGCTTCTCTGGAGCATGGGGCTGGATTGCTTATGGCTTGCCTTAAAGGACAGAGAGAGAGGAAGTACAGCATGCTTCCTGCCCATTAGAAAAGATTTGGGTTCCCTAAGTGCAGGATTCTTCTGGAACACAACCCATGGTGCTTTGCATCTCCTTGTGGAACCAGGGCTTGGAGTACTGACACAAACACTGACACTCTGGCTACTGCTCCTACTGTGAGCACTAAAATCCTCTGTGTGATCCAGAAGCATCTTCTAGCATCCATGATGCTGTAGTAGGCTAACTTATTAGCTTGCAAGTAGAGTAAAATCATGGCCTCTATATAGTTCTTGACACATAGGTTCCTGAGAAACTATTAAGAGCAGAGACCCTCCTGTTGGACATGTCATCTGAGCAAGAAGTAGTAGATCTTTATAATATTCAGTCACTCAGACTTAGAGATTATTTTTTGCTGCAGAAAAAATTGGTCTATCCTGGGGCACCTGGGTAGCTCAGACAGTTACGCATCTGACTTCAGCTCAGGTCATGACCTCATGGTTCATGAGCTCAGAGCCTGGAACCTGCTTCTGATTCTGTGTCTCCATTTTTCTCTGCCCATCCCCTGCTCGCACTCTGTCTCTCTCTCAAAAATAAACAAACGTTAAAAAATTTTTAAGAAAAAATTGGTCTATACATGCTAACATCCTACACATAAATAACATACTCCTAAATTCCTACCCATTAATCTCATATAGGATCTCATCACAGCAATCCTATGTCATTTCCCTAGCATTCTATTCTTCAATTCCATGACCTTTTCTTTCTTTTCAAATGCTTTAATCTACTAATTTGCCTACTTTAGTAATCATGATCACCAGTATCTAACTCTCAATCAGTAATATTGCATAGAGAAAACATAAGCAGTTGGATAATAATTCCCATATTTTCTCACCCTTGAGTCTCCCAACCTACCTACCTACTTTTACACCCACACTCTCTGCGTTTACTACTCTTACAGTCAATGAAGCATCCCTGTGGCTACCCAAGGCCAACTGCTTCACTTGGGCTCTGGATCCCACCCTTCTCGTCTTTTCAATTATTTCATGTATCAATCTTGCAGAAACGATCCTATTCTCCTCTGCATTCTCCAGTGGACCATTCCCCTCAACATATACAGAGATGCTATAATACCTACAATGAAAAACACATTCTCTTAACTTCACATCCTTTCCAGCTGCCACTCCATTTCTTAATCTCCTACTGCTCCCTGCCCCAAATTCTTATGTGTTCTATAATTGCTGTCTCTTCTTCCTTACCTCAGTTTCATCTCACCTCCATGCTAATCAGTTCTCATTCCCATCACTTCACTGAACCTGCACTGATCAGGGTCACTCCATCTTGCCCCAAGCTAGTCATCGCCTTTCTTTGTGTGCAATAAACTTTTTTTTTTTTTTTTTTACAAATAGTTTATTGTCAAATTAGTTTCCACATACCACTCAGTGCTCATCCCCACAAGTGCCCTCCTCCATGCCCATCCCCCCCTCCCCCCCACATCCATCAGTCCTCAGTTTTTGTCAGCATTCAAGAGTCTCTCATGGTTTGCCTCTCTCCCTTTCCCCCACCATTTCCGCCCTTCTTCTCCCCCTTGTTCCTCCGTCAAGTTCCTCCTAATCCTCCTATACGTGCAAACATATGATATTTGTCCTTCTCTGCCTGACTTATTTCGCTCAGCATAACACCCTCAAGGTCCATCCATGTTGCTACACATGGCCAGATTTCATTGTTTCTCATTGCCATGTAGTATTCCATGGTATAGATAAACCACATCTTCTTGATCCATTCATCTGTTGATGGACACTTAGGCTCTTTCCATGTTTTAGCTATTGTGGAGAGTGCTGCTATGAACATTGGGGTACATGTGCTCCTATGCCTCAGCATTTCTGTATCCCTTGGGTAAATTCCTAGCAGTGCTATTGCTGGGTCATAAGGGAGTTCTATTGTTAGTTTCCTGAGGAACCTCCACACTGTTTTCCAGAGGGGCTGTACCAGTTTACATTCCCACCAACAGTGTAGGAGGGTGCCCGTTTCTCCACATCCTCGCCAGCATCTAGAGTTCTCTGATTTGCTCATTTTAGCCACTCTGACTGGTGTGAGGTGGTATCTCAGTGTGGTTTTGATTTGTATTTCCCTGATGAGGAGGGATGCTGAGCATCGTTTCATGTGTCTGTTGCCCATCTGGATGTCCTCTTTGGAGAAGTGTCTGTTCATATCTTCTGCCCATTTCTTCACTGGGTTGTTTGTTTTTTGGGCGTGTAGTTTGGTGAGTTCCTTATAGATTCTGGATATTAACCCTTTATCTGATATGTCATTTGTGTGCATTAAACTCTTGACAGATTTGACTGAGGGCCATGCTCTCCTTATAACATTCTTCTCCATGCCTCCGATAGACTACCTCCTACTTTTCAGTCTCTTTTACTAGTTCTTCGTCCTCTGCTTGATCTCTAAATGTTGGAGCACTGTGGGGTTTTTACGAAATTAAGAACCTGACGAGGTAGACATTATCACTTCTTCCAGATGAGGAAAATGAGGCTTAGAAAAGTTAAACCACTTGCTCATATCTTAAAGACAATAAGTGATAGAACTATCCCCAGCAGTTAGAATCCAAACACCAAACTTTCAATCACTGCAGAGGTCCAGGGTGTCAGAATGAAAGTGTTCTACTAAAGAGGAGATTCAAACTGCACACTCTGGGTGCACCTGGGTGGCTCAGTCGGTTAAGCATCCGACTTTGGCTCAGGTCATGATCTCATGGTTCATGGGTTTGAGCCCCGCATCAGGCTCTGTGCTGACAGCTAGCTCGGAGCTTGGAGACCGCTTCAGATTTTGTATCTCCCTCTCTCTCTGACCCTCCTTTGTTCATACTCTCTCTCTAAGAAATAAATAAAAAAAAACATTAAAAAATTAAAAACAACAACAACAACCAACTGCCCACTCTGTCAGATACTTTGGCTAATGTATTCTGTCAGTTAGACCAGACTTTTCTCAACTCTGTTCTTGTTCCCACACACCCCTGACCCTAGCTCCTTGCCCCTTTGTATTAATCAATGTAAGTGTTCTAGTTTCTGGTCTTTTCCCTCCTGGGTACATCGCAGGGCAAATCAAGACCTTATGGTGTCCTGAAATATGACACATACATTCTATTCTGTCCCTGAAGTTAAATATCTTGTTCCTTTTCTCCCACACACATCTATAAGAAAAAATAATTTTGAGCCAACTTCTAAGACAAATTGGAAGCACTATACAAGATTCTTCTTAATCCATTAAATCAATGGCTCTTACCTCAGGTTTCACAATAACATAAACTGGATCCCTTAAAAAAAAATTCCAAAAAATCATGTCTGACCATTCAAACCCGTTTCTCTTGTCATTCTCTGCCCCTGTGCCCTACTTCATTTTTTCTTCATGCCACTTGATACTACTCTACATTATATGACATTTGTTTACTTTCTCAGAATCTGTTTCCTTCACCAGAATACAATATCCATGATGAAGCTGAAATAACTCCAGTGTCTAGTGCTAGTAGGTGTTCAATAAATATTTGCTAGATGGATGGATGAGAGGATTGGAAAGCCACCATCCACCTCTAGAACAATATTACCAAGAGGGATAGTATGCCCAGTATTATCAAAACTTCCAACTTCTCATACATACACATAAACCACATATTAAAGAGGAAAACCCTAGAAAAAGTAGAAAATATTTTGAACTGAATTAAAATAAAAATAAAATATATCAAAACGTGTGGGATGCAACTAAAGCAGTGCTAAGAGGGAAATTCATAGTATTAAATTATTAGAAAATAAGGTCTTTAAGTTTCTACCTTAAGGAAGTAAAAACTTCAAAGCAAAAAACACCTAAGTCAAGCAGACAGAAGAAAAATAGCAAAGGTAAAAGCAATAATCAATGAAATTGAGAAAAGATAGAGAAAATCAATGAAAACAAAAGCTGCTTCTTTGAATACATCAAGAAAATCAATACATCTCTAGCAAGACTGACCAAAAAGAGAGAAAGAGAGAACACACAAATTACCAATGTAAGGAATGGAAGAGAGCATAGCATTACAGTTCCTATAGACATTAAAGGAATGATAAGGGAATATTATGAACAATTCTATTCGTATAAATTCAACAACTTAGATGAAATGAAATAATTTCTCAAAAACCTAATTCATTAAAGATTATACAGATAACCTGACACAAGAAGAGGAAAAACTTCCCAACTCACCTTATGAGATCACCATTTCCTTGATTCTACAACTAAAGACATTATGAGAATAGGAAACTACAAGCCAATGTCCCTCCTCAACATAGATGCAAAACTCCCTGAACCAGCATTATCAAATCAAATCCAGTGATACATAAAAACGTCAACACAGCAAGTAAGGTTTATCCTGAGAATGCAAGACTGTTTCATTATTTGAAAATCAAGCAATGTTATCTACCATGCAGGTAGTTTAAAGAAGAAAAAATACATGATCAATTGATGTAGAAAAAGCATTTTAAAAAACTCATCATCCATTTATGATTATAAACAAAACCCAAAAAATCCTCTCAGCAAAGTGGGAATAGAAGGGAACTTCTTCCACCTGATACAGAGCATTTACAAAGAAACTGACAGCTAACATCCTACTTAATCGTAAAAATGTCAATGCTTTCTTTGCCCAGGAACAAACAGAAATGTCAGTCTAACTCTTTTAAACACGGTGCTGGAAGTGCTAGCTAGTACAAGAGAGCAGTAAAAGTAAATTAAAAGGCATACAGATTGGCAAGAAATCAAAATGTCTCTAGTCTAGTTGCAAACAATTTTATTATCTGCATATAAAATCCAAAGGAATGTACAAAGCAGCTCTAGAACTAATAAGTGAGTTTAGCAAAGTTGTAGGATTCAAGGTCAACACATAAAAATCAATCATATTTCTATATACTGGCATCAACAAATGGAACCATAATTTAAAAGAATACCAATAGATTTTAAAAATTATAATTAAAATGATCAAAAATCAAAATACTTAAATATAAATCCAACAAAAGTTCTACAGTCTCTGTAATAACCCCCCCAAAATACAAAAAACTGATGAAAGAAATTAAAAAATACCTAAATAAATGAAAAGATATATGATATCATGGATTGGAAGACTTAATACAGTAAAGATGTCAATTATCTGAAATTGATTTATAGATTTAATGCAATTGAATCAAATGCCAAAAGGATATTTTATAGCTCCAGACAAGCTGATTCTAAAATCTATATGGTCAGGAAAAGAACTAGAATAACCAAAACAGTTTGGAAAAAGAATAATAAAGTTGGAGGAGTCAGAATACTTCTTATGGGTGTACCATAATCAATACAGCATGGTATTGGCAGAGGAACACAGAGATGGATGGAATAAAATACAGGGTCAAGAAATAAACTCTCACAAACATAGCCAACTGATTTTTGACAAACGTTTAAAGTCTTCGACAATGATGAAAGGATAATCATTTCAACAAATGGTACTTGAACAACTGGACTTCCAAAATGAAAAAAACAAACAAACAACCATAACCCCTGATGTGAAACTTCATTCCTTACACAAAAATTAACTCAAGACAGATCACAGATTTAAAACGTACATCGTTAAAACTATAAAACTTTTAGAAGGAAACACAGGAGAAAAACTTCTAAGATGGGGTTAGGCTATGTGGCCGCCGCAGCAATTATCACTGCTTTTAAACCACTTCTTATTCCCGTATTAGTTTTATTGTCTATCAACCTTCCACCAAAAGCAGAAGATGGGCTGTCATGCTCCCGCTTCATACTCATCTAAAATATGTCTCGTAAGCAGAAAAGCTCGTGAAAATATTTCTAGAATGAATGAATGGACAGATGGACGAACTAAACAGACATTACTAAGGAACTGGTGCTCTTAGTCGCTTAGTAATGTTCTTAGTAACAGCCTGGAAATCATTCTCAACTTTTGAACACTCCTCAGCAATGTGCCTCCGTTGATGCTTATGTTTATTCTCAAGGCACAGAAGACCCATCCCATGCTTTCAAAACCTAAGCACAGAAGGATTAAGTGATTTAAGGCCACACAATAAATCACTGCATGAGTCAGGATATAGAAGATGACAGCATATAAAGCTCTTTCCGTATTTGCACTAGGCGTAATCATTTCTGTCAAAACAAATAAATGAACCCTCTTCCTTAAATGGAAAGAGCAGCTCTTTCCTTACATCCACAGTCGAGGCTTCACGTGGAACAAAAGTCGGAGCCAAAACTTGGGTGGGGGGATTGCCGAGCGGCCAACGAGCCCCCAGGGGCTGCGGTGGCGGAGGGTGGGCGCGCATCCCCGCGGCGTCCTGAGGCGCGGCAGCCGCCCGCCGCCCACCAGGCGCCGCCACCGCCCCGTTTGCAGCCCGCGTCCCGGAACTCACGGCTCTCGTGTCCCCCGGCCGCCTCCTCTCGCAGCGCCTCCTGCTTCGGGATCCAGGGTCGGCCCGCCGCGCCCCTCAGATCTTCCCGAAGGTCCTTCGCGGCCGCGGCCGCGCCTCGCAGTAGCTCTCGCGCCGCCGCCCGGCGCCCCGGGCGGCTTCGGGCGGGGTCCATGTGCGCCCCCGGGGGCCGCAGCGCGCGGGCGGGAACGCACGGTGGGGCCGCTGTCTGGCTCTCGGTCCCGGGCGGTCTCAGGGCCGCGTGTCCCGGGGGTTCCTGCCCTGTCCAGCGCGGCCGCCTGGGAGGGCCCGCCTGCGGGCGCGGCTTGCGCCGTCGCAGGATTTCGTTTTCCCTCAGGTGAACCCGCGCTCCGGGAAAACGCCCAACTCACACACCTCGGTCCTTCGCACAGCTTGGAGAAACGTCGAGGCTGGATTTGTACCCAACACTCTTAGAACTTCGGTACTAACTCACTCTTTCTAAATGGGCTTCCAGAATTTTCTTTTGAATAAAGTAAGTCTCTCAGGTTCTTCTCTGAAGGTATACACCTTGGTATCCCATTTCAATGCAGCCGTGACGTTTGGACTCCCGTCTTGGCTATTATTTCTTTGCGGTTTATAAAATAATTGATCAAATACAGTAATCTATTCAGGGCAACCACGTGCCTCGCTAAAATTCTAGTAATAGTGAAGAAAAACAAATATTGAAGGACAGCCAGGATCTCTGGCCTGAATCCACAGCACCGAAGCACAATGGGTTGAACGGGTTACAAAACAAAAGAAAACAACGGCACATCTCACACCTGTGGATGGTTGCAGAAGTCAAATTGGAAGGTTAGCACATTCTAGGAGTGAAAAAAAGAAATTAAGTCCTCATATGGGTCGCCTGGGTGGGTCAGTCGGTTGAGCGTCCGGCTCAGGTCATGATCTTACATTTCGTGGGTTCGAGCCCCGTGTGGGGCTCTGTGCTGACAGCTCAGGGCCTAAAGCCTGCTTCCGATTCTGTGTATCCCTCTCTCTCTGCCCCTCCCCTACTCATGATCTGTCTCTGTCTCTCAAAAATAAAGAAATGTTAAAAAATTTTTTTTTAATAAAAAAAATTAAGTCCTCATAAAACAGAACTGGATTTGACCCCAGAAATGACCCCTTTTTACACGCCTGCACACATACACACACACTTAAGAATGATAATAGGAAAGCATTGTCCATAAAAATGCACAAGATGATTTAAAGAGAAATAAACTAATGAAAAAATGCAGAGAAGTGGACATTTTCAAGGGGTCCTACAAGGGTAGAGAGATTTCAACAGACAAGCGTTTGGTAGAGAGTGTGTGTGTATGTACATACATATATAATGTATGTACATCTATGTATATGAATGTATTATGAGTTTGAAATCATAATAAAAGGGACTGGGGTTAGAAGTAAAGCATTACACTATTTGCCTCTGAATTATCTTCTGTGTCTCTGAGCAAAAATTAGAAATTACATCACATTAGTAAGAACAGTTCAATATTCTGGTTTGCTTAACAAATGGAATGTTTCCATCACTCACCATAATAGCATTTGAGTTTTTCTTGAACAACTGTTAATCCAACTGTTTTGCTCTGCATTACAAAGCAAAAGTGATTATCCCTGAATTATACAACAACAGTTTTTGTTCCAGGGAAATAAACACCATTGCTCTGTGAAGTTCACTAAAAGCCTACCAGCACCAGGTATGTTCAAATCTATTACTACTTTTCAAGATGGAATATTACTTTAAAAAAGTCAGCACTAGGCACCAAGAATGGTTTTCAAAATGGAATATTTCCTCAAAAAGCTTTTTTTTAGCCTTAGGTTAATAGTAATATTTGGAGCATTCTTCCAAATATTTCCAAGCCACCCCAAAGGCAACAGTAATTTAACATTTATAAAGCAAGCCATTGTCCAATAAAGGGAAAGGAATACAATTCCTTCTTTCTGGAAGGTCCATCCCTTAGAGCCCAGCTTTAGTGCAGCCACTTACATCAGCTACCACCTGTCTTCCCAGAGGAAAATCAGTAAGATAGTAATAGACACCACTCTTTGGTTACATATTATTTATTCACTTATAGGTCATCAAATGATAGTAACAATAAGTGCCAGGCCACATACTTCATACCCAGAATTCAGAGATCGGTGAAGACAGCCTAGGATATCTAGCAGCCTGCAATCTAGTGGGGCAAGACCACAGCAAAACCATAGCAAAGAATGTTTCAGTGTCCTCAAAGAGAGATAGAAGCAGAAGGGAACGACTGATGAACTTTTCCAGAGGTCAGGGCCGTCTCCCAAAGGCCTGCCCCCTGGACGGAGTTGAAAGATGAGTAGTTGTGAACAGTGGGAGAGAGCAAAGGCACATTCAGGAAGCACATTCAGGACAGAGGGAGCAAGCACCATACCAGAGGGGAGAAATTGCTTGGTCTATTCAGGAAACTATAAGCTATGAAGTCGAACTTGATTCGTGTTGAATGCCAAGTCTGTGTTTGGAGTGTACCATGGACAATAATGTGTGGAATTTAGCTTGTAGAGGCTTACATGAGCAAATGGTTACATTTTCAGGAACTTTGTGAACTGGCTTATTATGATTTGGGTAACACATGAACAAGAGTGTATAAAATATATATGCACAGTTTAAGGAATTCTCTTAATGTTTACTTATTTATTTTGAGAGAGAGAAAGAGAAAGAAGCGTGTGTGTGAGCAGGGGGAGGAGCAGACATAGAGGAGAGAGAAGCCCAAGCAGGCTCTATGCTGTCAGCACAGAGCCTGATGCAGGGCTCGACCCCACAAACCGTTAAATCATGATCTGAGTAGAAATCAAGAGTCGGACGCTCAACCTACTGAGCCACTCAGATGCCCCTAAAGAATATTTTTACAGTAAACCTCCATGCCATCAACCACCCAAGAAACAGAACACTGTTAGTATCGCAGCAGCTCCATGTACTATTACCTGATCACATTTCCCTAGAGAAGAAACCATTATTCTAACTTTCAGGACACTAACATACTTGCTTTTCTTAATAACCTGATCTCTTATGGATATATCCTTGACACCATGGTTTTAACTGTTTTGAATTGTTTACAAATATATTCATGCTGACGGCATGTCATGACTTGGCATCTATGACTTACTTCTTTTACTCCAGATTGTGATATTCATCTACTTTCGGCTTACTGCCTTCATTTTTATCACTGTGTAGAATTCTACTGTTTGAATAGACGTGAATATACAATGGTAGAATTAAATTGATATTTGGTTTATTTTCCATTTTTGGCTATTACAGTGCTGCTAGTGTAGCAGGATTCTCGCACAGGGAGTCATGACATCGAGGCCTTTCTTTCCAGGAAGCAACCTTCTTCATGCCAGCACCCCTCAGTTGGGTTCGTACTTGAAGAACTGAGCCCCAAATGTCACATGGCATAGTTTTTAAACTATATTCGTTACTTCTTTGTCTCCCATATACAGTAACACACAAACACGTAGTCTGATCAAGTGGTCTCATGTTACAAGGCCGTGAGGGTTGCTGTCATGTATGCGTATAGCCAGGTTGCCTTGAGGTTTTTTTTGGTTTTCCTTAGGGAGGGGACCCTACCACACTAGGAGCATTCTTATATATACTTCCTGAGGAACATGTTCAACATTTTCCCCAAGACATTGTATTGGTTAGGGCTCTGGAAGGAAAAACATCTGTATTTTGAGATGAATTTAAGGACCCATTTACAAAGGTGTGGGGAAACCACAAAAGATACTGTAGCACCCCAAAACTAATAAGAGTAAGGCTCTGTTGCTACCCCCAGGCTGAAGCGGTGAGGAAAGGAAAGGATTATCAGAAACTGAAGAGAGTAGAGAACACAGTATAAAGAAGTTGTATCCTAGGAGCACCTGGGTGGCTCAGTTGGTTAAGCATCCGACTTCAGCTCAGGTAGTGATCTCATGGTTCGTGAGTTTGGGCCCCCCACACTCAGCACAGAGCCTGCTTTGGAGCCTCTCTCTCTCTCTGCCCTTCCCTCACTTGTGTTCTCCCCCAAAATAAGCAAACATTAAAACAAAAAACAAAACAAAAAAACCCCCACAAAAGAACAGTTGTGACCTTTGGTCAAGGGACCTAATCCGCTCAATCCTCCCTAAAATCTCCTATAGTGCTTTCCCCATTGCCATGGCCCCTTACTGGTCAACGGCCAAGGGTAAATTTGGAGGGCAAATGGAAGATAACCAACAAAGGTGTTTATTTAGGAGTGCAGTCGCTGGGTTGTTAAGTGTACACATCTTCAAACTGACTGAAGAAGGGTAAACTGTTTTCCAAAGTGATTGTTCTCAAAAGTAGAGTTTCCATTGCTCCACAACATCACCAAAACTTAGTATCATTGGGTCTTTTCATTTTTGTGAATCTAGCAGGAATGTAATGATACCTCTTTGTGTGTTTTTTTCATTTCCCTATTTCTAAAATGGCTGAGAATTTTTCACATTTCTTGGCCATTTGGATTTCTTTTTATGTAAAGTAACATTTAAAGTCTTTTCTCCAAATTTCTATTGGCTATCTGTCTTTTTCTTACTAATACAGAGGAGCCACTTATACCTTCTGGATTATATATTCTGGATACTAGTTTTAGACCAGTTAAATGTGTCGCAAATATGTTCTCACAGGTTCTGACCCTGTAAGTAGGTAAGATCATAGGTGCATATACTTTGTAGTTTTGCTGTATTTCCTAAAAATGCCCCAAAGCAAAATCATAATAAAAAGTAAATAAGTTGGATACATTAGATTAAAAAAATAAAAAAGAATGTGGGGAGAATTCTGGGCAAAGAGAATGAAAGACAAAGATTCAGAGGTGGGAAAAGAGTAGAAAAGTATGAAAACCATATTTATTGGCCAATGAAACACTTCCAATTTTATTTTAAATTATTATTAAATATTACTAAATGATACAATTCAAAGAAATGAATCAAGTAGCTGAAAATAATTTCATAGTTATAGCTGAAAATACAATAAAAATAAATCTGAGGTCAGATAGAAAAAACAAAATATGATGCTCTTCACTTTTCAAGACATTAAATCAGTGCTTCACTGAACTTAATTTTGTACAGAATTTAGATAAATAAATCACATAATCAAGAACTCCGAATTTGCCATAGCATATGATAATATTAGGCCTGAGTTGCATGATAATAAATATAATAATCTAGTAAAGTCAAGTTACCACCTTGGCCAAAAGCCGTATGGGATTCTAATTTAATCTATTCCTAAAATATTATTTCTTTATAAATCCAGATAACGAGCTATGAAATATGAAAAGTAGGAAAAGAGAAAACAAAAATGTAACAGACAAAAGATTCAGTTCCTTAAAGGAGTAACAGAAAATGGCTTCCATCATCATGCTTCAGTTAAATAATCACTTTTTGAAAAAAAATTGTATTAATAGCACAAAAGTATTTAGAGTAAATATGCTAATCACTATTAAGCATTATTAATCACTATTAATCACTTCTTTCATGAATATTAAAATGTGATAGAAATATAATTAAGAGGAATGAGAGGTTTAAATACACATTAATCTTTTGAATTACACATTTCTCTCTAAAGAGCTACAAAAATAGAGTGTACAATTTATTCTTTTTTATAGGTCTGTGTAAAGTATAAATATAACTGTCAAGAAATGAAATGCCACCATTTAAAAGTCCTATACAGAAATTAACACCTTGAATCTTACACTAAACAGTTTTAAAGTGAACCACATGCTTATTCATAAGATAAAGGAATTCTAAATAAAAAAACAAAGGAATAATCAAATTTTAAGGAATTCCTTTAACACAGAAGATAATATTGTGATGTTATTTTCCTGAAGATAACAAAATCTTCATGCTTGTTCTGCCAAACTAATATTCTTCATAGAACTTAGGATAAGTTTCAATTCTGAATGTTCATGAGGCATTTGAATATACTAGGAGATAAACTATGAATATACAAAGTTGCAGAAGTTACTAAAATCAAATACAGCAATCCAGTGCCAACAAAGTGGTTAAGTGCTGAAATATTCTTATGATAAAAGAGGTTTGTGAGAACCTCTAGAGCCCTTATAAATATGTTGTTATATTTATAATAAAACATAATTAAGAAACAATCACTTTCTGATTCCATTCCTAATTTCTCATTTCAAAATGATCTCTAATAGGACTGATTTCTGACTGATGTATAAGTGAAATTGTCCTAGTTATCTAAAATGTGTAAAGAAGTAAACTAGTACATATTCCAAATTCATATAAAGGGAATGTCATCTGGGAAGGAATTATTGCACTTGTCTTTCACTAAATGAATTTGTAAACTTAATGAAGAACAAGAGATTCATTGATTATAAAATAACAAGTTTCAATAAGAATAAAATGTCCAATGATAAAATGTTCAAGGTTCATTTAAAAAATATATCAAGGGTGTGTCTGGGATTGCTTGGTTTTATTTTCTTTGACGATGAGTACTTTGTCACCAATCCTGGCCTGGAATGAAAAAGAACATGCAATTAATATGCAGGAAGATATTTTTTAAATGTTTTGCAAATCATTGATTTTTAAACTTCTACTTTATTTATAAGAGCAAATTTTAGCATTTCCTAAAAATTAGACCTCAAAATGTAACAATTTTATAGCCAGCTTTGTTAAAAGCTCAAATTAGGGGCACCAGGGTGGTTCAGTTGGTTAAGTGGCCAACATCGGCTCAGGTCATGACTTCACGGTTCATGAGTTCAAGCCCCACGTCAGGCTCTGTGCTGACAGCTCAGAGCCTGGAACCTGCCTCAGATTCTGTGTCTCCCTCTCTCTCTGCCCCTCCCCTGCTCATACTCTGTCGCTCTGTCTTTCAAAAATAAATAAAAACGTTTAAAAAAGTATTTAAAAAAATAAATAAAAGCTCAAATTAGCCATACCTTTTTGTTTTTGTTGCCGTCTTTTGTACTTTGCCTGAGGCATCTTTAGAGGAAAGAAAAGTCATGAAATTCCATAATGAACAACATGAAATAATTATAAAGCTGTAATTATAATTATAAATCTAGAGTTAGTTCCGAGGGGAAGGCATTCCAAGCAGACCGAGAGCATGCAGGGTGATGAGAGACCATAAGGCAGGCTGAGGGCAAAGTACAAGCTAGCACACGCACACCCTCCCCACAGGGGGATATGTGTGATATTCCGTGGACACTCCTGTCTACCCAAGAACAAAGAAAGGACAGAAAACAAATAGTTAAAAACTGATGAGAGCCTCCACCAGTTTGCAAAAGAAAGGTTCTGCTAAAATACACATAAAATGGGAAGATCAGAAAGCTAAAAAGGCTAACTTGGAGTGAGGTTCCGATAACACCGTAAGTAACCTGTGGTCTAAAGAATTCCCGACATTCTGCTCCTACTTGTCTGCTCAGGAGCTGCCCCTCAGCTGGCCTGGCCATGCATCAGAGCCTGCCTTCCTACACACCTAGAGAACCAGGCAGCAACCTTGAGCATTTGATAAAGAAAGCTAGAAACAACTCCGCAGGGAATCTGTGAGTCTATGAAATGCAGTTAACACACCAGCTGGGCCTATTTCCCGAATGCAGGGTGACTCTTCTGTTATCTAAAGATGTCAAAAATACTGAAGACCCGAGAAAAAAGGCCATGGAAGGTGCTATTGACGGTGCATTAATAAACCCTAAGGTGACTGCCAATCCATTTCAGATATTTGTGGCAGCAAACAAAGCAGTTCATCTCTACAGACTGGGAAAAATGAAGACAAAAACGCTATCAACTGAAATTATTTTCAATCTTTCCCCAAATAACAATATTTCAGAAGCTTTGAAAAAATTTGGTATCTCAGCAAATGACATTTCAATTCTAATTGTTTACACTGAAGAGGAAGAAAAACAAATAAATCAAGAAGACCTAATATCTCAGGTAGAAGGTCATCAAGTTTCTCTGAAAAATCTTCCTGATATAACAAATATTATAGAAGTCAAAAAGACACATAAACTATCTTCACAAGAACAAAGTATTGGAACATTACTGGATGGTATTATTTGTAGAATGTCAACAAAAGATGTTTTGTAAAATGACAGAAATATTAAAATTTTTCATATTAAAAAAATCTAGAGTTAAAGGTGATTAAATAAAAACTTCTTTAGAACTACATAATTTATATTTAGACATACCAGAAACTAACTTTATAGCATCATTTCTTTGTAATTTACTTATTTTATTAGTATACACTTAATTTTATTTTTGAAGTTGGGCTAGACTCAGACTACCAAAAAACAACTTAACAAAAGGCTGTCTGGCTGTGTGATTAATTTACCGCTGTGCCTTGGCAAAAGTTCTCTGAAGGAATTTCTTTCTTTTTTTATTTTTAAATTGAAGTATAACTGACACACAGTGTTATACTAGTTTCAGGTATACAACATAGTGATTCAACAAGTTTACAGGATATGCTGTGCTCACCACAAATGGAGCTATCATCTGTCACCATATAGTGCTATATAGTACCACTGACTATATTCCCTATGCTGTACCTTTTATCCCTGTGACTTATTCATTCTATAGGAATCTCATTTTTGATTAGGTCACCTAGCTCCCTAAACTTCTGAGTTTGTTCTGTGCTAAATCAAGCCCCAAACAGAGTTTTCCCAAAATTTAAAACCTAATGGCTTCAGTTAATTCTAACTTATGCTAATAAGGTAAATAGCCTTTTCCTAAATGGCAGCCTACACAAGCTATCCCTTTAATTGTGTATGCTTCACACTTAACGACAATCTCAATTTTAATAAAACATTCCTGGATAACCAAGTTCTTTAAAATGACTACAAACTCACCGGTACTCCTGGTGCTTTCTGTGGGTTGGTTAGCTAGATTATCCTTTCTCAGTTCCTGGATAATGCCTTTATTTAAGCACACATCCACGTGCACATTGAACAGGGTAAGATCTGAAGTCTTTTGTTCCAAGTTACAAACAGGACAAACTAGAGCTTGAGCTGTTATCACTTCAGGTAAATAAGGCTGGGGGGATTCTTGCTGACTTAATGACCCCATATCTTCCAGTGAAACAGCAGAGGAAGAATTCTGACACCGTTGCTCAGTATTAAATGATCTACTTGGAAAACCAGCACATTCCTCTTTGCTGTGCTTATCACTTAAAGCCCCTACACTTTCTGGTTTAGGTGGGTTACCTTGAGTCTCTACTAGCTCTACACAATCTACTGAACTGATTTCTGAATTCTTCTGATGGGTTTCATAATCCTGCTTCTCAGGAAGTGAAAAAGAATGATGTACATTTTCTTTCTTGTTAACTTCTGTACAGGAAGCATGTGAGCACGAGAACATTTGAGAGTTTTCACTAATTGAAGGTCCATTAAGACAGGCATCTACATGTTTATTAAAAGCTTCCAGACTGATGCTTCCTTGCTCCCGAAAGCAAATGGGACAGGTAAATATCTGAGACTTATTTGAATTCTCTGATGTTTCTAAATTCTCATTCATCTTCTTTAAAACTTGGAATGAATGTGATGTCTGTAAACTTTGTGTATCCACAGTTTCACATTTAAATGTGTCTTGTTGACCCCATTTCCTTTCTGATCGCTTTTTATCAAAGAAGCTCTTCTTCTGAGATATTTCTAGAGGTTTTAGAAACTGATCTTTATCAGTTTTCTCTAGCATATACCCAGTAGCTGACAGAGTTTGGTTTCCAGCCTGTAAGAAGCCAATAATGCTCCTTTGTTGGTGTTTCTTGTCTTCTTCATTGGGAAAACCAGACAACCGCACACCTAAATTAAACCAACCATAATTAATTTCTTAACAAAGCCAATTCACTCATAATGCATAATAATATTTTGCATAATACTGTTGTGACATATTATACAAAAGGCTGTTTAAAGAAAAATAATAAGCAATACTGCATATTTTCTGAATTAAAGGATGCATTTTCAAAATAGGTACTTTGCATGAAATTTACTTTCCTTTATAAAACTGGCTATCACTAAATAGTATCTGTTGAAGTTGGCATGATTATGTAAGTCCTTCATTTAACATCTGACATAAGATACCATTAAATACCAACTAACTGAGGCACTTGGGTGGTTAAGCATCTGACTTCAGCTCAGGTCATGATCTCAACAGTGTATGGGTTCAAGCCCCACATCCGGCTCTATGCTGACAGCTAGAGCCTGGAGCCTGCTTCGGATTCTGTGTCTCGCTCTCTCTGTCCCTCCCCCACTTGCACTCTCTCAAAAATGGAATAAACATTAAAAAAAAACTTAAAAAAAATACCAACTGGAGTCAATGTCACAAAACTCTTTAGCTCTTTTTTGTTTGTTTCATTTTTTTTAGGTTCACAGCAATAGTGAGCAGAAAGTACAGGGTTCCTACGTATCCTCTGCCCACACCATCCATAGCCTCCTCCAAGTGACATCTTACCCCAGAGTGGTACATTGTTAAAACCGATGAACCTATACTGACACAACATTAGCACTCAAAGTTCATAGTTTACATTAGGTTCATTCCTGGTGTTGTACCTCCTATGGATTTTGACAAGTGTTTAATGATCCGTATCCACCATTATAGCATCACAAAGAAGTGTTTCACTGCCCTAAAAGTCCTCTGTGCTAAGTCTATTCATCCCTTCCCCAACCCTAACCCTTGACATCCACTGATCTTTTCACTGTCTCCACAGTTTTGTCTTCTCCAGATTTCACAGTTTGAATCAGACAGTATTTAACCTTTTCAAATTGGTTTCTTTCATTTAATAATATAATAAATGTAATATAATAATATAATTTACATTTAAGTTTCCTCCATGTCTTTTTATGTGCATTTTTGTTGTTTCCAATTTTGGTAATTATGAATGATGCTGTTATAAACATCCGCTCTTTAGCTTTTAATTTTTTAAAATAAATTAATTTATTTTGAGAGAGAGCGAGCATAGAAGAGGCAGAGAGACGGAGAGAGAGAGTATCCCAAGCAGGTTCTGCACTGTCAGCGTGGAGCCCCAGGCGAGGGCTCGAACTCCTAAACCATGAGATGGTGACCTGAGCCCAAGTCGGAAGTTTAACCGACTGAAACACCCAGGCACCCCTGCTCTTTAGCTCTTTTATTTAACATCCTTTATTCAATCAATTTCAAGTGTGTGCTATCTTTCATACATGAAAGCATGACTAATGATCCACTCATAGCAGTAAAGTTGGCATTTGGAGTGCTTGTCCATATATATCCTCTCACCCAATTCAGTTTAGAAACTTGGTTTGTTTCCAAAGCAAGTGTGTTGACCTAGTGTGAATATTTTGTTTTGCTACAAAAATATTAGTATGTTTATAATAAGGTGGTGCCTTAGATACCAAAAAAATATTACATAATATACTCAATATGCACTAAATTTGCTTTCATAAAATCTGAAAAGTTTAAAATTTTGAAACATACCTAGCCTGAAGGATTTCAATAAGTAGTAAGGAAAAGAACAACTTTATTTGGTTCTTATAGGGATTAAACTAATGAGCACTGTTCCACATACATCAGGTTCTAAGAATTAAGAAAAATAGCAGCATAGGTACAAACTCCTAAAGAGGTTTAAGAAATAAAATGAAGGAGAGTCTATTTCCCAAGTTGATTTATTTGGGAAGGTCTAGCAGATATAAGGAAAAACAAGATAAGTCATACCCATAAGTCTTAATCTCAAGGGATGTGGAAAATCAGCATCAATTTCTGTTCTTAGCAATTCCTTAGCAATAGCAAATATTTCTTCTGCAGTAGAAACAACAGATGAAACTGTAAACGCACGAGTTTTAACTTCAAAATTTACATTCTTCAGTTTAATGGTAACAGTTCTACCCTGTAACAAACAGAATACATGGTTACATATGGCTTTCTAATTTCTAGAAAAAAGTTATTTTGTAGGCTACAAAAATTCAGAAAGGTCTCTTGTAATATATAACATTATATAACATAACATAGAAGTATAATCAATTATTTATAAAACATGGTAATGAAATCTGTTAAAAATAACAAGTAATCTACAAATCCCATTTTAGCCAAAAATTATTATTCCCTTCATACTTATTGTGTGCCTACTGTATGCCAGATATATGCTAAACCATTTGCATGCAAGAATTCCCCCGAACAGTTAACTGTTTAATGGGTACATAGTTTTAGTGTGGGATAATGAAAAAACTCTGGAGATGAATAGTGGTGATGGTTGCACAATATGAATGAACTTAATACAACAGAGATAAAAATGGTTAAAATGGTAAATTCTATGTTATGTATATTTTGTTACCCCCTGGAGGTTCTGAGTATGGGTTGACTTATTAACTCACTTCCAAAGAATAGAGTATGGAAACGGCAAAATAGTAACTTCACAGCTTAAGTTAGCAAACACTAACTTAACCAGGTGACAATTAGTATCATTTATGATACAGTTATCATATACCTTATAGTTATCATATGTCTTGATAGGATGTAATGAAGACAATTCATCTGTGGTATTCTTTCTAAAATTTCATAACCCTGGTCTAATCATTAGAAAAACATAACCCAAACCTAGATGGAAAGATATCTTACAGAATACCTGGCCAATACTCCTTAAGACTGTCAAGGTCATGAAAAACAAATAAATACTGAGAAACTGTCACAGATTAGAGGAGATTGGGAAACATGACAGCTAAACACAGTGTGGTTTCTGGACTGAATTCTGGAACAGAAAGAGGACTTTAATGGAAAAACAGGCAAAATCCAAATACTGTCTGGAGTTTAGCCAATAGAAATGTGCTAATGTCAGTTTCTTAGCTTCAACAAATGTATTATAATAATATAGCTATGATTTTAATAATGAGGGAAACTGGGTATAGCAGAGCTCTCTTTATTATCTTTGCTACTTTTCTTATAAATTTGAGATGATTCTAAAATTACTAGTTTATTAAAATATTTTTTAAAACAATTCTCTTCATACTCAGGTATGACAGAGAAGAATTATAAGATATATCCCATTCTTTGTAATAACCTTTGTTGTTTTGGGGTTTTCTTTTGGTAATAATTTTTGAATACCTTTGTGCTACACTTTATAATAAGGC